CCTTGCCGCTGCCCGCCCCCGGGCCCGCCGGGCCTGCGCCGTAGCCCCCGTCTCTGGAGCCATGGCGGGCGCCACGACCCCCTGCGCCAATGGCTGCGGGCCCGGCGCGCCCTCCGATGCCGAGGTGTTGCACCTCTGCCGCAGCCTCGAGGTGGGCACCGTCATGACTTTGTTCTACTCCAAGAAGTCGCAGCGGCCGGAACGGAAGACCTTCCAGGTCAAACTGGAGACGCGCCAGATCACGTGGAGCCGCGGCGCCGACAAGATCGAGGGGGCCAGTAAGTGCGCCCCCTCCCCGGCCTGGCCCGCTGCGCGGGGGCGGCGAGAGCGCTGCTTCGCGCTCTGCCCGCCTTCCGGACAATTGGGCAAACTTCGGGGCCCTCCCGCCTCCGCCAGGCCGCGGGTGGTCACTCCGGGCTGGGGGCATTCGAGTCTTGGATCACCTGATCATCCCAGCACGGTCGGAGCGTTCCAGGCCCTTTGCCCTGAGACCTAAAACTCCTGTCTGTGAACCAGGCTTCGAGCCCTTAGCCCCAGGGACCGGTGTCAGCCGTGTGAGGGGCAGCCAACGGGCCCCCACCCAGCCCGAGAACCTGGGGGCGCGTCCAGCCGTTCCCGCCCACTGTCGTTTCTCCTGAAAGTGCTGTATGAAACTCTCAGACCTCCAGGCTGGGTTTACACAGGGACCTTTGGGATCCCTAAGTAGAACTTGGGCAGTAGAACTTAGGACTGGGTTGGGAGCAAAGCTGGGACACAGGGAAGAAAGTGGTCCTTTTTAGGAGTTGGAAGGTACTGGCTGCCTTTTCCCTGGATGCTTCTTTTGTCCCAAAGCTGAGTTTTGGAAGCCAATGTGGGTAGGCAGACACCCAAAGCTGGAGCTGAGGCTCTTGGTACAGGGACCAGGTTCCTTTGCCTTTGCAAGCATGTAACCAAGAGCTTGGCCCCAGGATCAGGTACTCCTCTCTGGAGCTGGCAGCCAGTTGGAAGGCTAGTCCTTTGTGTTGCATGTCCGGTGGTCACAGGGAGCCCAGAGCGACTCCCCTGGTTTCCTGCTTCAGCCTTCCCAGGCCTGAGTTTGGCGCTTTTGCACAGGTCTCTGGTAGGAGGAAAGAAGGGAGGGTGTGAGAAACCTCATATCTTCCTAAGAGTCATTTGCCTTCGTGTGAAGCTGGATGGGCACTCAGCTCTGTCCTCCAGTCTCTCACTTCCCAGCTGAGGAGATGATGTATCTGTAAGTCCAGGCTATGAGTTGCTTCCTGCAGAGACCCCAGGAGACTTTAGGAGAGATTCAGTCTCAGAACCAGGTCTATGTTAGAGAAGTGGGTGGAGATCAGGAAGTGGCAGCACAAGAGAAGGTCCCACAGATCTTCCTGGGTATGGTGTGCATGTGTGTAGGTGGGTGAGGAGATGGGGAGGAAGGAAGGTCTTGTGGTGAGGCAAACTCTAGATCTGACACACTGCCAAACAGAAATGGCACTTGCCATTGTCAGTGACTGTATCAGCCCTGGCAGTCATTGGGAGAACAGCGTGGAGGGATATACACTGCAGGAAGTTGAGACAGCCTTGGGAAGGTCACCCAGACATCAGATTGCAGCATGGGCCCCTCTTTTTCAATTGTAGTACTCCCTGCGTTTAAGTGGTGGCATCAGCAGTGTTCCCTGATAGCCATCTCTTGGGTAACAGCTGCGTTCTTACATGTGACCAGCAGGCAATAAGTATAGCCTGTTGGTTGAAGGCATTTGAAGCCTGTATGTTAGTTGTGTGTCACCCAGCCAGCCAGTTACTTCTCTTCTCTGGGCCTTGGTTTCCTCTGTAATCTGGGCGTGGTATTACATCATAGTATTATATATCCACCATAAATGGTTGGTTGCGCTCTGGATTAAATGAGATAGTTAATGAAAAGTATGTTTTTATTTATTAAATATTAAATATTTAATAAATAGGAGCTGACACATTGCAGTGGCTCACATATTGTAGATGTTTATTTAATAAACAGTTTTACTAGTAATAACTAGACCCTGGACTGGGAATGTTAAGGTAGGGTCTAGTGTGGCTGTTGAGAGAGGGAAGAGGTACAGGAAGGAGGAGGACTGAGACCAAGTTCACGTTTCACTAAACTTGCTACTTGGAAAAAGAGAGGAAATCATTCCATTTTTCCCCAGCTCATCTACCCACCTGTAGCATAGAACAATGTTTCAATCGAGAAAATGTTTGTACATTGACTTCTTTGTATATTGGGGTCTGAGCAGAAGGAAGGGGTTTGGGAGGGGATCAAGTGGTCCATTGTATCTCAGCCTGGTGTTTGATGGGAGCAGGAATTCAGGGGACCTCATTTCCCGAGTCCCGTGGATCAGCCGGAGACAAGTTCTCATTGGTAGCTGAGACTTGAGAGGCATGGATGGTTAGACAGAAAATGCCCAGGCCCTTGGATTTTGGAGGTCCAGATTGAAGGAGTCTAGGGGGGAAGGCTGGCAGGCTAGTGTGGAGTTCAGCCCTTGTAGGCGGCACCTCCCACGAAGCCCTGCCCCATGGCTGCCCACTGTACCTCACTGCTTTGGTGGGTTCTGAGCCTCTTGCCCAAATGCCTCAGGTGTTTGACTTGTTTTCTGCTAACTGTAATCAGTGCCTAAAGCCAGGCCAAAGAGATAGATATTGCCAACCTCAGTGTGTCCAGGACGTGAAGAGAGGGTAACTGTGGGTGTGAAGGAGAGGTGCAGGGGAAGTGCAGATCAGACCTCGTTCTGTCTGAAGTCTGCTTTCTCACTTTGCCACTTGTGAAACAGGCTAGCACCTACTTATTTCTAAGGTAGCAGTTTGGCTTGAAAGAGGTAGAAAGTGCTTTGTTTGGTGTTAGGTGCTGTTTGGTTGTGTGGTGGTGGTGTGACAGGAATCAGATTGGTGTTTGGCTTTTTGTGTTGCAGAAGTTTAGTGAATAAAAAGCAGTTGCAGACTTCCTGCTGAGTGCAAAAGAGGCATTTCACTGTGTTCTGTGGCTAACCCTCACAAAAGGCGCCTGCAGGGTTGTCAGGAGCACCACCTCATTCTATAGGTTAGGAAGTGGAAATGCCGGGAGTGCTCCATGCCAGTGTGACCAGTCTCAGCTGAGCCCAGTCCTCACAGGGATGATCAGTGACTGAGCTCTCAGGTTATAACGCTGGCAGTGGCCCTTAGGCCCCACATTGTCTGTGGCCTTAGGCCCCTTGTGAGGAGAAACTCATGCTTATACTGTTCGTTACAGGCAAAGACCACTTGAGCGTCTGTACTCTAGACAGCCTTCCTAGGCTCTGACTCCCCATGTTTCCATGTGGTGCCTTTGTGGTGAGGTGGTTCAGATCCGTGTTTAGTGAGGTAGTCCAGTTGAGGACCACTGTCAGCATAGTGGCCCGAGGTGAAGACTCTGGACTTTGGAGCTACAGGCTTCTATCTTTGGCTGATTGGTAGTAGATACTCTCTGGATGCCACACCCTCTTAGGTGGTAAATGAAGACATGTCCTTGCCTTCAGGGAAACTTAAAACTGACGATTCTAGCCGGGCATGGTGGCACATGCCCAGGCTGAGGCAGGCCAATCTCTGAGTTCAAGGTCAGCCTGGTCTTCTTAGTTCTAGACCAGCTGAGTCTACCGGGAGACCCTGTCTCAAAAGACCGAAACAAAACAAAAAAATCCTGTCAATTCTGACTGGCACCTTTGATGAAAACAAGGTGGAGAAAGAAATACCTCACTGTCTTGAGGTGAATGGACTCGGGGGGGGGGGTAATATTGGGAGCAGCTGCTGGGGTGCAACCCTGTGGTTGTGGGCATCCTACTGGCAAAGAGAGCAGTGTACCATAAGGCCTGCTTTGAGGTTGGGCCGTGACTAAGATCACTGTGCAGATGCCTGCAAGGATTCTTTTGTGCTGGCTGGGTACTCCAGTGGGAGAAGGGCAAGAGCACTTGTCTAATCTCGAGAGCTAGCCATCCCTACCATGTGTTTCCTCTCTCATTTTTCCAGGGGAACTCAAACCTCTTGCTGTTAGCACCCCAGACTTGCCTGATGGGGAGTTTCCAGGTCCCCCATCCAGGTGGGGCTCTGTTTCCTTTGAACCTAAGGCCTGCTTTAGAGGTGATAAGGAAAGCTGAACACACCCAGTGCTGGGAAGCCCAACACCTCCAGCTTCTCCCAGGACTTTGTGTTGGGGAGGTCTACATAGATGTATAGACCTGAGTTGGATTTCCTCCGGGTGGCCCCTTGGAATAATGGGCATTTATTTGTTCAATAAACATCATTCAGACACCTCTTATTTGCCTAGTGCTTGGCACCAAGACTTCAAAGGATGGGTAAGATGCCGTAGGTGGGCCGAGTGTGGTGGCACAGGCCTTTAGTTCCAGCACTTGAGAGACAGAGGCAGGCGGATCTCTGAGTTCCAGTTCCCTGGGGCTACAGGGAGACCCTGTCTCAGAAAGACCATAAAAAAAGATGTGGTATGTAGCATTGAGGATCTTTTGAACTAGACAGCCTTGGAAGCTGTGTTATTAGATATTCTATTGAAGGTCTCTACAAATAGCTCTGAATGCAAAGGAGAGAACCAGGGAAGAAGTTAAGAGTTTGTATGTGCTTAGCTGTAAAGGCTGGGGGTCACCCCTGTAAGGCTTTGGAATACATTTGGTGTGATAGAGATGAGGCCGAGAAGGTTGGGGGGGCCAGCCTGGAGAAGGTCCCTGTGTGCTGTGCTTGATGGCCACACAACTGCCCATCAGCAGTGGGAATCTGCAGACAGTGGTGGAACTGGCATACCTAATTATCTGTCAGAGATGTTGGGGAAGAAAGTGAACTGCAGTTTGCAGAAGAATACTGATAAAGGTCCAGACAAACCCTCCTTGTGGAGGAGGCAGGACTAGAATATCATGATGACAGAGAGGAAAGGGGCCAGGTCTTGAAAAGTGAGACAATAGAGTTCGGTACTTAAGGCAAAGATTGGGCTGTGAGCTCCGACTGCAAGGGTTATCCTGTTGTAGTGCTCACTTGTTCTGTGACCTTGACCATGTACTTTGTCCCTCTGAGCTTCTCATCTGTAAACAGCATGTATTTCAAGGTTTTATGAGAATTTGATGAGAGTTTGTGTAGTGTGCTTGGCATCAAGTGTGGCATGGTGTACTTGCTTAGTGTAGAATTCTGACAGGAGGGAAGTAGAGTTGCGTCCCCTGGAGGGACAGGTGGAAGGAGAGTGGATGTGTGTTTGTGGTTAGGGTCTGGAGTCCTTTGATTCTGGGCCTGAGAGGCTGCTTACTCTTTCTTGCAG